GCAAGGTAGCGTTCTCGGTCCTCTAATCTTCAACATTTTTATTAACGACCTGTGCATACTACTTTCATCATTCAAACTTTCCTTTGCCGATGATCTCAAAGTGTATCGCATCATTACCTCGTCTTTAGACTGTGACGCTTTGCAGGAGGATATAAACGTCATGCTTATCTGGTGCGGTGACAGCGGCATGCGCGTTAACAACAAGAAGTGCAAGATAATATCTTTCACTCGCTGTATCGGTCAAACTCACCATCAGTACTATATGGACGCAGAGAAACTCGAACGGCTAAATTCGATCTGCGATCTGGGAGTCACCATCGATTCAAAGCTGAGGTTTAACGATCATGTAGGGATTATATCAGCCAAAACTTTTTCGGTATTAGGATTCATCCGTCGACACGCTTCTGACTTCACCGATGTATATGCTCTAAAAACACTCTACTGTTCGTTGGTGCGCAGTATCCTGGAGTACGCTGCACCAGTTTGGTCGCCGTATTACGTAACACAGACTCTGAAGATCAAACGTGTGCAGAAAAGGTTCATAAGATTCGCTCTTCGTCAACTTCCTTGAAACGATCCAGAAAATCTTCCTCCCTATGTCGATCGATGCCAGCTGATTAAACTCGAACCTCTTTCTGCTGTTGGTGAGTCAACATGCAACGCTTGTTTGTCTTTGACCTCATCAAAGGATCCATCGATTGTCCCGCACATCTCGAACAGATTCCACTGAATGCTGCACCCAGACGCTTCCGCCACTCGCCACTCCTAGCGGTTCCTTATCATAGGACAAACTACGGCCATAATAATCCATTCGACTCGTGTCTTCGAGCATTCAATGACGTTAGCGATGAGTTCGATTTGAATTTGTCTAAAAATGTGTTTAGTAATAGGATTAAAGATAAGGTTTATGTTTAATTATAAGTTATTCAGTCTGTACGACTAAGTCGAAGATGGTGTAATAAATAAATTCATAGGACAAAAATTATTAGTTTGAATCGTGTGATCGTACGAAATGCCTTAGTGCATGCAAAGATAAGCAGAACGACAATTAATTGTTTATTATTATTTTAGTATTTTTTTTTGTACAATACACTTATATTCTTTTTTGAGTATATGAATGTCTCATACTTTTTTTTCTATCGACACGGAAGTTTCGTATTTATTTTATGAATCATTCGTTCGCAATACTAAATACAATCACTAGCGAGTGTGCCATTTGTAACATTTATTTATCATCAAAAGTTCGAAAATATTTCGTTGCAGATAACAACGAATGGATTCGTGGATCAAACGAAGTTTCGATAACAATACTTCCCACGCAACAGAGTCAGTTTGTCTGCTATTCTCGATAACTTTTCTAATATCAACCTGCAATTGTTCCGAGTCAACATCTAGTGTTCAGAATCATAAGACGCTAACTGCGATTCTCTTCGTCGATTTTCTCTTTTGTTAATAGCTTGGCTGGATTAACATTTCGCGGTGCAATGTTGCTATTGCTAGCTAATACAACCTTTTACCACACGTATTGAAATAATTTCGTACAATTTGTTCACTAAACTGTGGTAATGCGAAGAGCAAATCGATGAAGAGATTCTGTCATCTCAATTAGGCCCTTATGATTCTAAACGCTAGATATACACATCTTTTTTACTTCAGAGCATTACCAAGCCAAATTGTAAAAACAATGAATTACAGACTCGACCTTTCTATTTGGATGAAACTTACACTCAAAAAATTCCACACGTTTGATCGAAGTGTTTAAACACTTGATTTTTTAAATGCACAATCACATTTACTTTAAGTGTATTTCACCTTGGTGCAGTGTGTTATACACGTTAATTTCTGGTGTTTCAAATTTTGAAATGTTGAAAATATTTCACTATCTATTCAAGTGTATTGCACATTGAATCACACTACTGTTCAAAACAGATGGATTTAAAGTGTTTTGCATTTCAATACGATGTGAATTGCTTGCTCATAAAGGTAAACACTTTATCCTATTAACCGCCTCATATATGAGAACAACCGTGGCACAGTGAGATCGAACGAATATTCAGGCAGCAGCACACCCCAACAGTCCATGATCGAATCCTAAATCAGACCCTTTAAAAAGATATGTGAATGCTCTGGCCTCTGGAAGTTTTGTTTATATATTGGTCGATTAATTTTTAGAGTCGGTAAAGTAGATGTCGATAAAGTAGAATATTGAACTATGATGTGCAAAGCTATTGATATCACCATATGTGACACATAGAATCCAAGTTTGTCACAATTAATTATATGATTTGAGTAGTAGCTATACTGAAGATCCGAGAGATGTCGCCCCTTCAGTGGTAGGAAAATCATTTTTGCAGTATGGAGAATATCAGAAAATCCACGATTTGTGACTAAACATGCTTTCACAGAAGGAAACAAATAAACGAGTGTTTACCTTACCACCATAGTAATGTACTCGTGCAATTTTTGTTCATCTAAAATTGCCCATTACGACGATAATGAATAAAAACTGAAAATTTCCATGCATTTCCAAATGGTTTCCAACCATTCCCATACATTCGAAAGTGACTGGCCCTCTGGATGTGAATGATGTGAAAACAACAAAACATGATTAATTCAAATCCATAGTGTTCAGGCATGGTTCATAGCATAAGATTCACACATGAAATGAATGTGTTTCACAATAAGCGCAAAATTAAATGTGAGACACATGATGATGACGTGTGGAATTTTTTGAGTGTAACATAATTGTTTGTTATGGGTAGGGTTACCATACGGTATCCTAAAGGATGACATGTCCTCGGTCTGTCATACGACACTGTCGCCGAGGACCGTCACGAATGTACCGTTTGTGTTGTGTGAGAGAGACGACGGTGGAGCATGAGTGTATGAATACAAACAGATTGTCGCGCAAGACAACGAAGCGAGTGTAGTAAAAAACGTCAACCGTTTCACCCTTGGTCGTGATGGTTGAGTAATGCTGAGCTATTAGGGTGTTCAACAACTGTATCCAATCAGCGGTTGAGGGCAGCCTTGATTGCTAGCTGCTCGCGGGGAGCCTTTCGTTGTTTACTGGAGAACTGGTCTCCCCGAACATGATTCAACATGAACACCGTTCGGGGAGACCAGATGGAATTAGATTCTGAAATCTGTGTTAGGGAAAGCGCTTTTTGTAGGAAATCGGTGATAACTTTGATCACCATTGCAACAGTTGGATATTTGTGTAATTTTCAATAGTGAGCTATTAAAAATTAATAAAGTGTTCAGTTTAGCTTTAGCACTTTTAGTAATGCGGTCGATTTTGGTTTTTTGAAATTGCACCCCCAATATGTTGCCGAAAGACGTAATCCTACGTCAAAACGTTTTAAGAAATAATTAAAAAAAAATTACCAAAAGTTCTTGTTCTACGATTTTTGTCAATTTTAAGAGTTCAAAGATTTAGAAATTTCATTTGGTCGCATTTTTCATAAGCTTTAAAAAAATCGGATATGGACAGTTTGAGATATTAAGATTTAAAACATTTTTTTAAAATTTGTACTTTAACTTACTAAAATCATTTGTTTGTATATTTTTCCAGAAAAACATTATACGCACTACCCGAGCAAAGTCCAGCATCAAAATGACAGCAAACCGAAAACAAATTTGATATCAACATCAAACTGAAATCATAATTTGACTTCAGTTTGAGCGATTGACAAATTTGACAACAAATGTTGTTTTTATTTTTCTGTACATTTGCTCTACAAAAATGCATATGTTGTTGCAGTTTTGTTTTCTATGCTTTATCAGAAAATGAAATAGTATAATCGTTTTGTTATCCACAGAAAAACAATGTGCATCAAATTGAGTTTTCAATTTGCTCTCATTGATAGCAGCATTAATTAAAATGTGGTTTATTTACAAAAATGGGAGATTTCTCCCAACACTGTCAAAACTCAACTTATAATATTTCCACATAAGCCTAGAGCTGCCTTTTTGAAACCTAGTAGTAGTTACATAGTCACACGGAGTTCCAATTTCTTGGTAAAGTCAAGTGAAATATTTTGGATTATTACTTGACCAAAATTTATCTTTTAGAGATTACATTGAGGGCATTCAAGCCAAATGTAACAAATATACAACATAAAATCCAAACTTTGCCTGAATAATAAAAATCTAATATTTAAACAAGTTTTTAGACCGGCCATGCTTTATGCTGTGCCAATATGAGTTGTTGCACTACCAGGAAAAAAAGAACTTCAAAGGAGATGATTTTGAAGTTGCCTCCCTGGTCCAGCACTACCGAGGTAGGGAAAATGGCTCTAATGTTGGCCTATGGATATAAAATTGGGCCCATCGCTAAAAATCTACTATTTATCAATTGTATCTAGAAAAACGCGTCATTGGGACGGTACTAATGGATATTTTTGGTCGCTATTGAAATTTTAGTCGATTGCTGAATTTATGTATGGGCCCAAATTAGGGGAAGGAAGTTCCTGTAGTAGCTAGAGCGGCTAGGTTAAAATGAAATGTAATTTATTTTGAATTTGGAACAAATAAAGAGTTTGGCAAAGGAAATGATCAACCCGATCCGTGCCTTCCTATAAATTTAACTTTGCTCGCTTTCTACTCTCTTTATACAATTTTGACACCGCCGTACTCTAACGGAACAATCAACTCTTTACTTTCATCTCCTCATATAAAATGACCACTTTAAGTTTGATATTTAACGTTAAGCATCTCCAACTATGAAAATCGTTAAATTCACGCATGAAGTAATACAAACATGATTTTTAAAGTACTGTGTATGGACTTTAACTGTTATTAACCATGATCGAAATTTGGCCCAGCTACTCTACCCATCAAAAAATAAATTTTCGCAGTTCGATAATAAAATATACGGCATGAATGGGTTAACATGAGTTGCAAAAAGTGTGCTATAAAAACAAGAAATTGATGCCAATCCACTGTCTATACCTTTTCAATAATTGCCTATTGTTTTCCGTCAAAGGCCAAAAGCCAAAAGCCAGTTCACCGGACACAATGCTTCCAAAAACATTCGTTTCTGAACCACACTGATTGCAACACAAATCGCAGCATCGTTATTGCCAAAGTGAAACTTACCTGGAGTAACATTTTATAACAAAAATGACTTTAAACAGTGACCGGAAACCCCTCATCTATGAGCCCTACATCTGTAGACTGACGGATGCGCAGAAGAAGTTTGTCGAGGAGGAATTTTATGAAGTCGATGACATTCGAGGAAAATGGATCGGCCAGCTGCGTCAATGGGCCATCCGAAATCCCGCCATCGGCTGGTGCCGACAGGATGGTTTATTCCTGCTTCGATTTCTACGGTACACCAAATTCGCCCGTTGGTGTGAGGCTCCCGTTCTGGCTCAGGAAGCTCTGGTACGGTACCTAGCGATGCGTCACATCTACCCGGAATGGTGCCGAGGGCTGGATCCCCGCGGTGAATTGATGCAGAAGATGATACACGATGAGGTTTTCACAATCCTGGGCACGGACACGGCTGGCCAGATGATCGTATGGATACGACTCGGTCGGTTCGACGTGGACAACTTGGACTCGATTGTGCTGCTTCGATATACGATCATGTTCCTGGAGTTGATGGCCGAACACGAACCGGTACATATAGGAGGAATCAAAGTTTGGGTCGACTACACAGGGACCACTTGGAAGCATTTCCTTCGGTATAATTTCGATCTGCTGAGGGAGTTCAAGAAGGTCGTCGAAAAAGTCATGCCAATATGGATTCGGGAGGTTCACAACGTGGGATTACCAGATATTGCAGGTTCCTACCGGACTTTTCTATGCGTTCTGGGCACAGACCTGTTCAAGTATAAAACTTTTGTAATGTTCATATTAGAGTTGGTGTATTTCCCGAAAATTGATGAACATTTTTTCCCATTTTAGTGGCATACATCATCAGCGGATGCCAGGCAGTATTTTGAGAAAGCTAACTGTCCGGAAGAGTACGGAGGACCATGCAATGCGACCAGGCAGGCAGGATATCTCAAGCGGTGGTTCGAAGAAAAGAGAGATTTACTGATGGCATTGGATCGAATGGACATCGACGTGGGACTCAACGACATCAGATTCTTCAAACCTTACTATGACGGGCCGAGTAGATTCGATACCGGTGTCAAAGTGAAAATCGAACCGACGGTGAACATCAAAAGCGAGTTTGTGAAGAAGGAACCGAAAGCGATGACGATCATCAAGAGCGAGTTTGGGAAAAATAATATGAAAGAAAATGTACAATCTACATCAGAAACAACCAAGACGGGAACTGGGAAAAAAGTATCTAAGAGTAAGAAAAAGAAGAGCGCAAAAGCAAAAGTGGACAGTGGTAAAAAAGGAACTGGTAAGTCCGTAGGTATGAGCGCCAAAAAAGAAACAGCAGCAAAAAACGATAAGCGTGAGTCTTTGCCAGGCGAAAAGTCAAATGTGAAAAAGCCATGGAAGTAGACTGCGATTTTTATAAATTTTATAATTTTAATTTAGTCAACTGGATCCTATAAACATTTTTATGATAGTGATGTAATAAAGTTATTTATTGTAAAATTCAGATGTGTCCCAGTCAAATCAAGGCTCCGAAAACCGTTAGTGTGAAAATAGTAAATAGAATTTTCTTTGATTATCTATATAGATGTTGTACATCGTTCGCCATATCAACTGAGCTGTTCGGATGATCAAACACCCATTGCGAAAGCAGTTTCCCCACGCTTGATGTATAAAACCGCAAATTGATTTAATTTACAGCATCTTTGATCGGCGCTGCAGTTTAATCGTCAGAATAAATCTGAGCAACTTACCCACAAGCCCTATTGTTACATTGAACGTCACTCGCTTTATAGTTCAAGTGCATTCGGCTTTTCAGGGCAGTCCACGTCTGTCTATACTAACTCATAATACGACTTACAGAGTGTGAGAGGGAGATAAGCGCCACCTCGTTGCATCCGCCGGCCGTTTGATTTCTTGATCTCCTTCAGCGGAGATCGCACACGATCGTCAAATGCTTGCGGCTTCAAACTCGCCTTAATCAGTACGTTGCTGTAATTAGCGCAAAGTGGATGTTGCACGGAGTGCTAATCCGTACCGGTGTGCTAGTATGAGCAAGAGCATTGATCTGTGTTGAACGTAGGAGAATCATGTCCACTACTGAGTCGTACAAATTTAAACTGTCCGAACAATTTCGGACCCTGGCCAAGGATGAATTACGGGAGGATGACGATGTGCGGGGGCAGGCCATGGCTCAGCTGAAGGAGTGGATCGAGAAGAATCCCTACATCAAAAAGTGTCGCACGGATGCAAATTTCCTGCTCAAATTTCTACGTTATCGAAAGTTTGCTGTTCATCAAGCAGGGGAAGCAATCGAACGGTATCTGGTTGCTAGACAGAAATTCTCCCATTGGTTCCAGAAGTTGGATCCCCGGGATCCAGCGATGCAGGAAATCCTATCCGACGCCCCTTTGACAGCGCTGGGCAAAGACGAGAACGGCAGGACTGTGGTGCTGATTCGCGTTAGTCGATACAACCCCGAAGTCAATACCAGTACAACGATCGTTCGATTTCTAATGATGATGTTGGAAATAATGTCCGAAGAGGAAGAATTTCAAATCGCCGGTATTCGCGCTTGGGAGGATCACACCGATATGACGATGAAGTTTATTGGCATGTTCAGCTTGACCGATATCAGTTCGATAATGGTGATGCTAACCAAAACAATGCCGCTCCGGATTCGGGAAGTTCACGGAATCAAACTGCCAAAGTTTGCCGTTACGTTGACGAATTTCGCTCTTTCATTCACCAGTTCGAAGCTGCGGGAACGAATTGCTGTGAGTTGTTGAGGTGGACATTTTGGGAAAGTGTTTAAAAATGTGATTTGTTTTGCAGTGTCATGCCACGATTATGGAGGCAAAGAAGCACCTGCAGGAGTCGTTGTGGCCCAAGGAATACGACGGTCCGGTAGATGTCGATGCATTGAATCGAAAGATGATGAAATTATTGGAAGAGAAACGTGACCTTCTGCTGAGCTTGGACGAGATGGAGATCGATCTGGATCACTATTCCGATCTGTGGAGCAAGGAGTCGGGTGATCCAGCAGGAGAAATCGATTCCGGAATGGTTGGCACGTTCCGTCAATTGAATGTAGACTAGGTGTGATAGTGATCCATGTACGATATTTTGCAAATTTGATTATAAGTTTGTGTATAATATGTGAAGTTTACATACAACCTTGACATTGACATTGACCTTTTCGATGTATTAAATTCTAATCACAAACGTGCTGTAATTGGACAAGGTTTCTGACTGAGAGAAATTCAAGAACTTTTAAGATTCCGGACGTAGGGAAACATAATCACGATCCAGGGCTTGGACATAAATTCCAGAAACTGAGACTTGAAATAAATTGAAACTTGAATACTTGTAATGTGATCATTTCAGTTAGAGATAGGGTTTGTGACGAGTTTTAATCAGATCAAGCAGTAACCGCGATGTTAAGCTATGATTGATAGCGATGTTTGAGCGATACTGAAAGTATCTGAGTATCGATCAGCATACTAATCTAATCAAATACAAACGTAGGAATTAGATTAGATTAGATGATGCCTTTATTGTCAATATCAGGCATAACATTTGATAACGGCACAAAAGCATTTGTAAACAAACTTTTTAAGGCCCTTTACACGCGAACCAAAGTACGCCCATGCAAACCAATGCCACTTTCGGAAAGGTGATAGTTGCCCCTATCCGATCCGGGCATTAGAAAGTTTGTTTACAAATGCTTTTGTGCCGTTATCAAATGTTATGCCTGATATGATCCAGCGAAATGATTCGAGTTCAGATAAAAATACTCAAACTACGCACATACGCATATTCACACTTACCCAAAAATTTGGTCAAAACTACAAACTGATGTTTTTTGTTGATATTGATTCAACGTTTGCTAGTAATGTGTTTTTTGTTAAATTGTACGAAAATAGTTAAAAAAAATATAATCCATCAAAAAGTGCAATTTGATTTTTCTCAATTTGTTATAATTTATCTACTTACACTGCAAAAAATTAATTTGGATATCACATCAAAGTGGATGAACTTCAATCGTGTAAAAATAAGGTGTAATATTACTGGCCAAAAAGGACAACATTATCATTAATACATTAATACATTACATTAATGAACGGACATTACGCTGCTTTTACTGCATTTGTTTATTTTTGTGGCCATAAAAATTACATGAGATTTTCGACATGATTGAAGTGCATCCTCTTGGATGTAATTTTAAAATTTATTTTTTGCTGTGAATATAATACTTTTTTTCTCTGTTCGGGACATAAAACCGAGGGGAACGACTCTATCTACACTGCAGTAAAGATTGTGTTGTGCTGTGGCTAGCTGCTCGCATGCTGAGTAGATAGAAAGAAGATTTATGACGATTCTGAAGATTTCCTGCAAAAAGTTGATGCGTGATGCATGTAGATGCGAGAAATGCAAGAAGATTTTTCGAAGATTGATTCGCTAGTGTGGGATTTTTTGAGCATCTTAAATTGAGGTTTACATGAGTCGCCCCCCTCGCATAAAACCCCTGCGACCAGTAATTTGATCTACATACTTAAAAAAAATTTATGTGAATTTAGGTGTCAAAGGTGGATTCCGTCACGTGTAGAATTATGTATTTCTACACGCAGAAAAATTTACCGTCGAAACAAACATATTTGAGGTACATTTAAACGCAAATTCAGTTTGTTCTGGCCACAAACATAAACTAGGTTGATTTCAAACGTATTCCATGTCTGAAGCCATTGTTAATAATGTTTAAAACAAAAATATTTTTACGTTCATTTTAAAAATATTCGTGTTGAAAATAACCGTGAATATTTTTGGTTCATGTTTAAAATAAAAACATATGTTGAAATTATTTTAGCATTTGAATACGGGATAAAACAAAATATTTAAAATGGATAGCGAATAAATGGAAAGCGGCAGACAGGGCATCTATTTATCGGTGTGATTAAGGGTGGTCTATGTGTTGGGATCTGGGTCCAAGATCCCGGGGGGAGGAGAGGGCGTTGGAGTGGGTGTCCAGAAGTTCCAGCTCAGTAAAACCGGTGAAACTTTGTGATATTAGCGTCGTTTTTTCGTTTCTGACGCTGGTCCTCATACCGGCCTCTTTTTACGTTTGGTGTTGGGGATTATCTGTTTTTCTTTCGATGTCGGGTGGAGGTGAGGATGATATGTGGATCGGCATCCGAAACGACGGAGTGACGTTGATATTGTGGGGTTCCACCGGTTTTGTCGAGCTTTGAACACTTACTTGCGTGGGTTTCCGGACCATCTACTTCGGTTTCGCCTCTTGCAGCTCGTTTTCGGTTGAGTTTGCCGAATGTAAACAACATTGAAAAACGGACACGCTGAAAATGGTTTACCCAAATTATGTATTGTTGAAATAAACATACTTTAGAATTTAATTCAAACATACATATTTTTATTGAAAACGTGTTTTCAATTTACTTTGAACTATTTATATTTTTATATAATGAATATATATATTTTTGATCTAAATGAACAAAATTTGGTTCCGTGTAAGAGTGTATTGTAGCATATGCCGTATCCCGTATCCTTAGTTTAGTGCATGTCATATTACTCCATCACTATTGAACAATGATGAAGTATGTATTCGGTTTTGATGCAGTTGTCATTCTTTCCTTGATCGCAAGGAATCGATTCAATCTTGATCAATTGATCCCGTTATTTATACCAAGGGGAGGATATGGCTGTCAAATACGAACAATCGTCGCCTACCTTGCATAACTAGTTCCAAGCGTAAACAAGCCATAAGAAACCTACAGGGTTTGTTTACGTTTGGAACTAATTTCATACAAGAATGATCAGTAGGCTGATTTGACAGCACATGGGGTACGCTAGTCAAAATTCTAGTACTACACTGTTTGTTTTGATTCGCTATGAAAGTTAGACAGATAAATGAGGGGTTCGTGGATTTTCCTATGTTTCGAGTGGTTCATCGATTAGCTTTGGACCGAAGAGAGTACCAGAGCTGAGCCATAAAGTTGAGCACATTTCTTCGGGACCTTCAAGTCTTAGAGTTACCTCTATGATTATACCATAGAGGTAACTCTAAGACTAGAAGGTCCCGCAATAACGTGCTCAACTTTTTGGCTCAGCTCTGGTACTCTCTTTGGTCCCAAGCTAATCGATACACCCCTCGAAACATAGGAAAATCCACTAACCACTCATTTTATCTGTCAAACTTTCATAGCGAATCAAAACAAACATAGTGTTGTAATAGAATTTCAACTAGAATAGGGTACGTTAATCGTTTGCTTGGGACCAATAGGCTACTAAAGTGGTGAGCCAATTTAAAATCGTTAGTTTCGTATTGATTGTTGATTAAACTGCGTTCAGACTGTACCGTGGACCAGCCGGTAATCTGACCGTTTTAAATCTGAACACTTTTTAGATTGAACCCCACCAATCTGCAAAAAAAAATACTCAAACGTCATGGAATGGTGTAAAGTAAAATGGAACGTTCCGAAACGGAACGCAGAATCAAAACAAAACAGCAAATAAGGCTACCAGAATCTCACTTTTCTGATGGTCATAGGGTTACTAGAAGTTCAAATTGAAAATGAGTCCCAATAATATGCACAAAGTTTCGTTCAGAATAACGAGGGTCCTCGGTAGTTGATATCACGTAATAAAATATGGTATCAAGATAGCCTATATTACGTGATATCAGCTATATTATGAACGTACTATTTGCTTAAAGGTGAGCCAAACAAACAAGGGTAAAGGCAGATTATATCTGCCATCCCTCTTCATATACCAGATTGGCAACTGATAGGAAGAAAACTTTCAACACGCTATAAGGATAACTCAGAGAGAGAGAGCCAGTTCTACCATAGAGGTAACTCTAAGACTAGAAGCTCCCGAAATAACGTGCTCAACTTTTTGGCTCAGCTCTGGTACTCTCTTCGGTCCCAAGCTAATCGATTCACCCCTCGAAACATAGGAAATACCAATAACCCCTCATTTTATCTGTCAAACTATCATAGCGAATCAAAACAAACATTGCGCAGTACTAGAATTTCGACTAGAATGGGGTACGTTAATCGTTTGCTTGGGACCAATAGGCTAGTCAAGTAGTTAGCGAGGTAGTGAGCCAATTTAAAATCGTTAGTTTCGTATTGATTGTTGGTTCTACTCAATGAGCATGATTACCGAGGTGAAGCAATCGGTTAAGTTGTGTGAGTAAAACCCATGTACGATACAAGCAATTATTGACGTCACTACTTGCGTTTACGTTCACGACCAATAATACCAACTCAGCGACTGAGAATAATAGACTCAGAGAATTTCCTTTCCATACGAAATTTACTCAGATTTGGAAGAAACTGCAGTTAAAGGGTGTCCACGATGAAATTGCCACACTATGAAATTGCTCTAACTTTTTAACCGTTGGGTAGAATTTAATGAAAATTTGGGTGGATTTAGTTCATAGTGCATTATTTACATCCTGCAAGTTTTAAAGTCCTGTGATCAAAACTCGCGGAAATAGAGTCGAAAGAACAGCTCGTGCGTGATAAAATCTTGCGCATTCATCACGAGAACAAGGATCTCTCGCATCGTTCCATCGCTAAAACGTTGGGAATCGCGAATTCCACGGTGTCGCGAGTGATTAAGCGGTTCGAGGAACGGTTGACCACCGATCGGAAGCCCAGAAGTGAAGGAAAAAGTATTCCGTACAACACCAAAAATCACAACCGCGTAGTTGGGGCCTTCAACCGAAATCCGAACGCCTCCGTTAGGGATGTGGCTAAGAAGCTGCACCTAAGCCGAAGTTTTGTCCAGAAGGCCAAAACTAAGGCTGGGCTTCGAACGTTCAAGGTACAAAAGGCCCTTAATCGCAACGAGAAGCAGAACAAGTCCTCCAAAACCCGTGCCAGGAAGTTGTACCTCAACATGCTGACGAAAGTTGAATGCTGCATCATGGACGACGAAACATATGTGAAGGCCGACTTCAAACAGATCCCCAGCAACCTGTTTTTCACGGCCAAGGATAAGTTCAGCGTTCCGGAGCATGTCCGCACTCAGAAGATGTCCAAATTTGCGAAGAAATTCCTGGTTTGGCAAGCCATCTGCACGTGCGGGAAGCGGAGTGCACCTTTCGTGACCCAGGACACGATGAACGGACAGGTGTACATAAAAGAGTGCCTCCAGAAGCGGCTGCTTCCTCTCCTGAAGGCCCACAACGTCCCAACAATCTTCTGGCCGGATTTGGCCTCATGCCACTACTCCAAGGACGTGCTGAAGTGGTATGCGGACAATAAGGTCAATTTCGTGCCGAAAATGTTCAACCCTCCCAACACTCCGGAGCTCCGCCCCATCGAGAAGTACTGGGCGATTATGAAGCAGCACCTTCTTAAACGACCTAAGGTAGTGAAGACAGTCGAGGAACTGAAGAAAGTATGGGTTTACATGCAAAAAACGGTTGATTCACAGGTTGTGCAGAATCTTATGGCCGGGGTTAAGGCCAAGGTGCGGGCATTTGCGTATGGACTGTAAATAAAATACGAGTAAAATGGTAAAATGAAGTTTAATAGTTATTTCTCAATCCCTGAAAATTTGATGGCAATCGGATGAAAACTCGAATTTTGCGAATCAATTTTGTGTGTGGCAATTTCATCGTGGACACCCTTTACTCATAGCTTATGAGTAACTGCAGTTTCTTCCAAATCTGAGTAAATTTCGTATGGAAAGAAAATTCTCTGAGTCAATTATTCTCAGTCGCTGAGTTGGTATGATTGGCCGTGTTGATTTTTTGGTTTACTAATATAACAATATTTCACGATCTGCTTCACCTCTCCCTGTATCTCATTGAGTTCTACTCAGAGGTATGGAGAAATTTCTTAAAACTTCAAGAACTTAGTGCTGAGTACTAGCGTCTCACTTTTATAGCGAATTCGTTTATTATCGGGGTTGGAACCAGTTCCAACCCAGTGCGAAACCGAACTTTTTGTCAGTGCGAACCTCAACCTGAGCTGGGTTTTAAAAACAAACGATCGAACTGACGTTTGTCAGAAAACAAGCAGGCCCAATCTTGATACCCGATCCAGGTTGGAACTGAATAATAAACGAATTCGCTATTAGAATGCCTATTGAATATAAAGGGTGATACGGTCAAAATTTGGTCAAGGGAAAACGCGTGTAAATCGGTGTAATCGTTTATTTAAAAAATCAAATTAAATTTCTTTTTCAAGTTCAATTAGTATAAAATTCAGGAAAAATATTCAGTTAGGCTTCCGCTTTTCCAAATCCGAATTGCCGGGCCTTACGCTTGACCCCTGCCATCAGATTTTGTACAGCCACCTTGTCCACCTTCTTCGCCGCAGAAAGCCAGTTTGCCTTGAACTGCTGCTCGCCCTTAGCAGTTTTTTTGGTCTTCTTTAGGTTCCGCTTGACAATAGCCCAGTATTTCTCAATTGGGCGGAGCTCTGGCGTGTTGGGAGGGTTCTTGTCCTTGGGAACCACCTGCACGTTGTTGGCGGCGTACCACTCCATGGCCTTTTTACCGTAATGGCAAGATGCCAAATCCGGCCAAAACAGTACGGAACAACCGTGTTTCTTCAGGAAAGGCAGCAGACGTTTATTCAAACACTCTTTCACGTAAATTTCTTGGTTGACAGTCCCGGAAGCTATGAAAATGCTGCTTTTCAAGCCACAGGTACAGATGGCTTGCCAAACCAGATATTTCTTTGCGAACTTTGACAGTTTCATGTGCTTGAAAACATCTGCTACCTTTCCCCTTCCTTTTGCCGTATAAAACTCCTGTCCCGGAAGCTGCTTGTAGTCGGCTTTGACGTAGGTTTCGTCGTCCATTACCACGCAGTCAAACTTCGTCAGCATCGTCGTGTACAGCCTCCGGGATCGCGCTTTGGCCGTCGTATTTTGTTTATCATCGCGATTTGGAGTCACTACCTTCTTGTAAGTCGATAGTCCGGCTCGTTTTTTGGCTCGATGCACGGTTGTAGACGATACACCCAGCTTATTTGCGGCATCTCGGAGAGAGAGGTTAGGGTTTCGCTTGAAACTACCGGCAACTCTCTTTGTCGTCTCAGCGGCTTCCGGTTTTCGATTTCCCCCAGATCCAGACTTCCTGGCTGTCGACAAACGTTCCCCAAACACTTTAATTACATTTGTAACGGTTGATTTGGCAAATTTTAGCGATTTTGCCAACTTTGCGTGCGAGTAGCTCGGATTTTCGCGATGCGCGAGCAAAATTTTGATACGCTGCTCTTCTTGCTTGGACGGCATTTTGACAACTGAAGAGTGAATTCCAAAATCAAAATAGGAGCAACATTCTACACACACACACCTTCAAAATGAGGGGTGTTCAAGTTTTTTAAATGCAAAATTGAAAGAAATACGTCAAGTTGATATTGACCAAATTTTGACCGTATCACCCTTTACATTTAATTTAAAACAAATGCATTTAATTTCTATCGTTTGCATCAACCATTCAGTAGGATGTGAACATAAAAAAGCATGCGCTTCCAAGGAGGTTACTTTCACCCCACCTGAACATTTTAGTTCATTCGGTTTGAACCCATGACCTTTAGCGAACTACGCCAGGCCTATCCCCTGCAACCTTTTGGCTGGGATCTCAGTAAAAAAAAATACCCAATTTTCTCTCAACAATTTAAAATTGTAGAGGAATGTGAGTCGACTCATTGAACTGATCAAGCAACGATGCTGGACAAATTCACAAATGAGAAGAAGTGTTATGAAAAATCAACAGATAACACATTGGGTCATTTTACCCCACGGGTGCGTTTTGCACAGTTCTCCCCTTATAATTAAATGCTTTAATAAACGGAGTGTTACATTATCAGGCCCTTGGCTACCGTCGTGTTGCAATTGAATTAGACAGGAAAAATGGTTGGTCAGTTTATTGGCAAAATGCATTTCTATATGCACTCTTCCTTTCTATGCAATGCATTGTAGACAGGCGTACTATATTCACTGTTCCATACACACATTGACGTAGGAAATTGTAATGAGTAATGCAACCTCGGCATGCAGCAGCGTGCAAAAAGCGAAAACAACTGAAAACTGCATTGTAGGTAGGTGTTTGTTCGCAACGAGGCCGTCATGAGCCGGTTCTCGCCATATCCACTACTTTCGCTACAAACAACAAACACCGACGTCCGCATAACTCTACCGTACCTCCTCCTTCAACAACAGAGCATGTTCGTCGTTTCTTCCGCGGTGAAATCACCAACCTAGTGGATGGGGCCATTCGGCAAGCGCCAGTTTACATTGAACCACGCGTACGGAATCATGGCGGCTAGCTTCAGCGTCGAAAAGTGTCCCAAGGAGTACCAGCCTTACAGTTGCAATCTATCGGATCGCGAACGACAGCTAGCCAAAGAGCTGTTGGGTGAAGATGACACCGTTCGGGAACAAGCTCTCCGGGATATTCGGGACTGGATCGCTAAACACCCGCATATTCGAAAATGTCGGACGGATCCCATGTTTCTGTTGCGGTTTCTGAGGGCAAAAAAGTTCAATTTGACGGAGGCGTGTGAAACCTTGGAGAGGTATCTCTCGATGCGACAGGTGTTTAAGATTTGGTTGGAAAATCTGGATCCGGAGGATAAGTACATGAAACAGTTGGTGGCCACGGAAGGAGCATTACCGCTGGGAGTGGACAAACGTGGCCGCATGGTAGCGTTGGTCAAGGTTCGCAACTTTGACGCCACCAAGTACACCAGCCACCATTTGGGACGGTTTACCCATATGGCACTGGAAGCGTTCCATGACGACGAACGGGTTCAAATCGGCGGTGGCGTGGCGATAGTGGACTGTGAAGATGCCACTATGGCCCATTTCACCCTGTTCAAACTGTCGGACATAAGGAATTTTATGGACTGCCTGAAGCAGGCTCTTCCCGTGCGGGTCCAGGAGGTCCACTTGATTGGACTACCGCGAATTGGGGCGGCGCTTGGTGATCTCATACTCAAACTAGCCAGTGCTGAGATGAAGCGTAGAATCAGTGTAAGTTGTTGTTGTTCTAGATTGATTGATGGATAATGGGGAGTTGATAATGATCATGATTTATTTATTAGTTTCACGCAACGTTGTCCGATGCACTGAAGCTGTTGGATGTGCAACTGCTGCCGGTGGAATACGGAGGCAGTCAGAGTGCGACGGACGTCACCCAGCGCTTTAGGGAACGTTTGGATGCTAGCAGGCAAATGTTGCTACAGCTGGACGAGCTGGACATTGACGCAGCGCCCTATGCAGAGCTATGGAACCAAGGCAAAGACGAGGATGTGGAGTTTGGAATGGAAATTGATTAGTAAATCGGTCATAATAGCTTAATTGTTGTGCTTCACTTGCCAGTTGTTTTTTGCACTGCCTATAATGGATTTCAATAGTTGTTAAATAATATGCACTACCTGAACTTTATCACAGCAGTCATTGTATTTACACAATTATTATCAATATATTAGCCAAGGATCTACCACCACCTATTGAATCGATTCCGAATTAAATTGTGCACTGTCAGACACACGGTCGATGAGACTAACGCAGAGAGTAATTTTTACTCAGTTGTGTAAGAAATTTCTAAAATCGCAGGTCACTCAGCGCTGAGTAATCTGTGTTTTTAATTTTACCATAACCAGATGGGTTTTGCCCGGCTGATCCAGAGCAGTGTATATTTTTTTTTTTTATTGATATGACTTCTGGAAGGTTAGGAATACTAGAAGTAGCGGGGGATGGTAACTGTTGTTATGTGATAATTATGATAGCTAACTTTGATCTTCCAGTCCCTGACCTTCCATTGATTGACTGAAATAGTACTCTTCCCAACTAACAAGCTGGTCTGCAGCTATAATTTTTTGATGGTTTATGCTTAAAGCAAACATCCTTTTTCAAACTACCATCAATCTTAATCCACATTGAACTTCCTGAAACACCCGGCCACACCGCCTTCGATGTCACTGTTTGGATTAGCACTCGATTGACCCCACAGCGACGTATAGTGTTCGATGTCGATGTCCATGTCATCCAGCGCCATAATGCGAGTACGCTTCTCTTCGAACTGCTTCTTCAGGTCTCGTGCCAGCTCCTTGGTATCGTGAGTTCCTCCGTACTGTTTCGGCCAAAGGGACTCGTCGAAGTGCTTCTTCGATTCCAACACCGTAGCGTTACACTAGAACGAAAATAAGTTTATGAATTACGATCGTCCCTGAAACGTGATTCCACTGCACCAATATTACCACAATCCGTTCCCTGAACTTGGAACTGGCGAAGGATAGCAACAGGTTGGCAAGTGTAATTGCAAACTTGGGAAGTTTTGCTGCCTGAATCTCCCGGATTCGAATTGGCATCGTCTTGTTGACGGCGTCCATCAGCAGCTTCAAATCTCCAATTCCCCACATGCCATAGTGCTTCATAAGACTCTCCGTGTAATCCACCCATACCCTAAATCCTCCAATCTGAACCTCCTCATCGTCAAGTAACAGTTCGAGGAACAGCATCGTGTATCGAAATACAGCAATCGGATTCAATTTTTCCACATCAAACAATCCAAAACGAATGAAAACCACTGTCCGGCCAACTTCATCGCGCCCAATAATGGTGAATACCTCATCGTCCATTGGAATTTGCATCAGCTCATCCCGAGGATCCAACTGTTTGAACCACTCACTAAACGTCTGTCGCATGGCCAGGTACCGTTCCAGAGCTTCCTGTGCCAATGGCACGGAAAATTTCCTGAATCGTAAAAACCTCAGCAAGAACACTGCATCCGTGCGGCATGTTCGGATGTACGGATGTTTGGCGATCCATTCACGCATCTGCGTCAGCGATTGCTCCCGAATTTCGTCATCCTCCCGCAGTTCTTCTTGGGCAAGTTTTCGGAACTTATCCGATAGCGTAAATGTGTACGGTTCATAGCTGGGGGGATTTTTGTCCACACTAAACACAGACGATGCCATCGCGCAATCGATTAGATCTGTTCTCATCGGCTGCCAAACTGGTACTGAGGCTTGGGTAATTAGAATAATCAATAGGTGTACAGTAAAATGAGGAAGGATTTCCTGAGGCACACGATGCATCAACGTACGAGGTAATTCGAGAGCAAGATTATAAACTCTGTTCCCACAGTCGTAATACATTTGAATTTACATATTGCATTGGCAAGCCGCAGTACAGGCAGCAGTTTGAATGCGTGTTTAGAGTTGCTATGTGATATCTGACTATAGGTTCGATGGCATTAGGAATATTCCAATCTTTCAGCATAAGGAGTGTGTTGTCTGCTCTCAACTTAGTGTTTTGAAGCACTTCCACAGTTATTAATTGAGAACTTGCTTTGCCAACTAATGCATGAAATTTTATTTGGTATGAAAAGCACAGATACACTTTTCAACCAGAAAAATTGCTTTGAAGTTTACATTGAAAGCCTGAGACTTCATGTTTTTGTATTTTTAAACTATTTTGCACATGCTCTTCAACCACCTTCAAATGCGTACCTAAAAAGGTTCATCTGGACCGTCTCGAAAGCTTCTTTAAAACTCGTAGGACATTTCGTAGAAACTCCTTTTAACTTGCTTAAAAGACATCCCGACACTCGGCCACGGTTACACGAATTAACGATGCAGCTCCCACGACTGCGGCTGCTTCCAATGCTGCTGCTATTGTTGCTGCTATTCCTGGTCTGCTGGTGGTTCGCCTCCTCCAAAATTCGTCACAATAATGTCCTCAACGAGTAGTATTAAAATTTACGTTTTAATCTCCATCGCCATTGTATTGCTGCTTTCGACGAATGACCGAGGGAGATTTTGACTCTTTATTAGAGGTGACTAAATATATGGATCCTAGAAACTGATAAAATTTGAAGATTCTAGATAAAATACGCGAAACTCTCAAAGATAAGCAAAAGAGTTAGGTCATGTATTAAAGGGTGTCCACGATGAAATTGCCACACACAAAATTGATTCGCAAAATTCGAGTTTTCTTCCGATTGCCATCAAATTTTCAGGGATTGAGAAATAACTATTGAACTTCATTTTACCATTTTACTCGTATTTTATTTACAGTCCATACGCAAATGCCCGCACCTTGGCCTTAACCCCGGCCATAAGATTCTTCACAACCTGTGAATCAACCGTTTTTTTGCATGTAAACCCATACTTTCTTCAGTTCCTCGACTGTCTTCACTACCTTAGGTCGTTTAAGAAGGTGCTGCTTCATAATCGCCCAGTACTTCTCGATGGGGCGGAGCTCCGGAGTGTTGGGAGGGTTGAACATTTTCGGCACGAAATTGACCTTATTGTCCGCATACCACTTCAGCACGTCCTTGGAGTAGTGGCATGAGGCCAAATCTGGCCAGAAGATTGTTGGGACGTTGTGGGCCTTCAGGAGAGGAAGCAGCCGCTTCCGGAGGTACTCTTTTATGTACACCTGTCCGTTCATCGTGTCCTGGGTCACGAAAGGTGCACTCCGCTTCCCGCACGTGCAGATGGCTTGCCAAACCAGGAATTTCTTCGCAAATTTGGACATCTTCTGAGTGCGGACATGTTCCGGAACGCTGAACTTATCCTTGGCCGTGAAAAACAGGTTGCCGGGGATCTGTTTGAAGTCGGTCTTCACATATGTTTCGTCGTCCCTGATGCAGCATTCAACTTTCGTCAGCATGTTGAGGTACAACTTCCTGGCACGGGTTTTGGCGGACTTGTTCTGCTTCTCGTCGCGATTAGGGACCTTTTGTACCTTGAACGTTCGAAGCCCAGCCTTAGTTTTGGTCTTCTGGACAAAACTTCGGCTTAGGTGCAGCTTCTTAGCCACATCCCTAACGGAGGCGTTCGGATTTCGGTTGTAGGCCCCAACTACGCGGTTGTGATTTTTGGTGTTGTACGGAATACTTTTTCCTTCACTTCTGGACTTCCGATCGGTGGTCAACCGTTCCTCGAACCGCTTAATCACTCGCGACACCGTGGAATTCGCGATTCCCAACGTTTTAGCGATGGAACGATGCGAGAGATCCTTGTTCTCGTGATGAATGCGCAAGATTTTATCACGCACGAGCTGTTCTTTCGACTCCATTTGCGCGAGTTTTGATCAGAGGACTTTAAAACTTGCAGGATGTAAATAATGCACTATGAACTAAATCCACCCAAATTTTCATTAAATTCTACCCAACGGTTAAAAAGTTAGAGCAATTTCATAGTGTGGCAATTTCATCGTGGACATCCTTTAGGCTCACCGCTCACCTGTGAATCCAGGCATGGTTATAATAAGGTCTTGTTTGAAATTGCCTCAGGTCCTACAGTTTTTTTTATCTCCCATATCTTCGTTATGAAATTTTCCCCTTCTGAATCAAAGTTGCCGTTAACTCTGATGAAAAATCAATCACAAACAGCGCTGCTTGTTTGCAAACATTTTCTCTTTGCAGAACTCTTATTAACATTGACTCTGGAAACAACATACAGTCATATAATCTCCACTTCTCGATCCTATTATTACAATAATCCTTCTAAAGCCAGTTCCATTTAGAATTTGTTCGCACAAAATGGGTCATTTATCCAAGATGAAATAACCTACAAAATTGCTAAGGGTATCATTTTGTAGGTTTTGTAATTTTTTCGTCAGCTATTGGGATGAATTTTTGATCTTTTCACAGAATAAAGGGTGATACGGTCAAAATTTGGTCAATATCAACTTGACGTATTTCTTTCAATTTTGCATTTAAAAAACCTGAACACCCCTCATTTTGAAGGTGTGTGTGTGTAGAATGTTGCTCCTATTTTGATTTTGGAATTCACTCTTCAGTTGTCAAAATGCCGTCCAAGCAAGAAGAGCAGCGTATCAAAATTTTGCTCGCGCATCGCGAAAATCCGAGCTACTCGCACGCAAAGTTGGCAAAATCGCTAAAAGTTGCCAAATCAACCGTTACAAATGTAATTAAAGTGTTTGGGGAACGTTTGTCGACAGCCAGGAAGTCTGGATCGGGGGGAAATCGAAAACCGGAAGCCGCTGAGACGACAAAGAGAGTTGCCGGTAGTTTCAAGCGAAGTTCCGAGATGCCGCAAATAAGCTGGGTGTAACGTCTACAACCGTGCATCGAGCCAAAAAACGAGCCGGACTATCGACTTACAAGAAGGTAGTGACTCCAAATCGCGATGATAACCAGAATACGACGGCCAAAGCGCGATCCCGGAGGCTGTACACGACGATGCTGACGAAGTTTGACTGCGTGGTAATGGACGACGAAACCTACGTCAAAGCCGACTACAAGCAGCTTCCGGGACAGGAGTTTTATACGGCAAAAAGAAGGGGAAAGGTAGCAGATGTTTTCAAGCACATGAAACTGTCAAAGTTCGCAAAGAAATATCTGGTTTGGCAAGCCATCTGTACCTGTGGCTTGAAAAGCAGCATTTTCATAGCTTCCGGGACTGTCAACCAAGAAATTTACGTGAAAGAGTGTTTGAATAAACGTCTGCTGCCTTTCCTGAAGAAACACGGTTGTTCCGTACTGTTTTGGCCGGATTTGGCATCTTGCCATTACGGTAAAAAGGCCATGGAGTGGTACGCCGCCAACAACGTGCAGGTGGTTCCCAAGGACAAGAACCCTCCCAACACGCCAGAGCTCCGCCCAATTGAGAAATACTGGGATATTGTCAAGCGGAACCTAAAGAAGACCAAAAAACTGCTAAGGGCGAGCAGCAGTTCAAGGCAAACTGGCTTTCTGCGGCGAAGAAGGTGGACAAGGTGGCTGTACAAAATCTGATGACAGGGGTTAAGCGTAAGGCCCGGCAATTCGGATTAGGAAAAGCGGAAGCCTAACTGAATATTTTTCCTGAATTTTATACTAATTGAACTTGAAAAAGAAATTTAATTTGATTTTTTAAATAAACGATTTCACCGATTTACACGCGTTTTCCCTTGACCAAATTTTCACCGTATCACCCTTTACATCCCATAATGTCTTACACAGTAGTACTGTCAACCTTATTTGCAATCTTTTGCAGCCACTTCACCAAATCAGATTGTATTTTGATTGTTATGCCACATTTCTTCAATTTACGCTTGATAATTCCACAAAATTTTTCGAAGGGACGATAATCTGGACAATTTGGTGGATTGATACTTTTTTCAATAAAATCGACATTATTCTGCTTCAATGACATCCCTGCTGTGAGTCGTGTGACTGAATGAACGGCAACATTTTCTTCTTCTTTCATATCTCGCATCTACTTGCATCGCGCATCATCTTTATACAAAGAATCTTCAAAATCGTCGTCAATCTTCTTTCTATCTACTCACCGTGTACGCAGCTAGCCACAGCAAAAGAAAATCTTTCCTGCATCGTAGATAGAGCCTTCCTACTCGCCTCTTTGTAAATTTGTACATTCATAGTCGATCCAGTGATGAAAGCCTTTGTTTTCTTTGCACAACTGCAGATGTCGTGCCAAATCATCAACTTGCAAACCAACCCTTACGTTTGGCATTTGTTCAATGTCCACTTTTACGTAAGTTTCATCGTCCATCAAAATAATCCGTCTTGGTCATAACTTGCTCGTACAGCTTCCTTGCACAGTTTTTGGCAACCAGGTTTTGTTTCAGCGTCCTATTGGGGTGTTTCCTGGCATGGTACGGCCAAAAACCTTCTCGCATTCAGTGCTCAATATACCTCCCAGTCAACATTTTGGTTCGTATAATTCCGGATATACACAGTGATATACGAACCAAACAAGTCGTACAAGATGCACAGATTTGATAAATACGTTCCAAAGTGGAGGCCATATACATACACACATACTGGCTTTCCAATAATGATTTTGCCGATTTCAATATAATATAAATACGATCATCATTATAAAATTAAACAAAAAACCAACATTTCATGCAGCTTGTCTCGATACCTTACCTTCGTATCCACAGATCACTACAGAATCCACTACACCATATAAGCTCTTATAAGTACGGGGGATTATATCAGTGATAACGC